TGATGAGTCGGTGAAACTCCGACGAAACAGTTTGTCACAGCCCCTCGTTTGTTGTCCTCTTCTCTCTCTCTGCCTACGGTTTACCGGGCAGTTCTGTTTGTGACGATATATATATAATATATATATATATATATCACACACACATCTGAGCAGAAGGCAGAAGGATAATCGCTGTAGCAATACTGCATGCCATGAACTCTATGCGTTCACTGTGACAAGTAAAGCCCCACGCAGTCTGAATTGCATCTCTCTCTCTCTCTCTCTCTCTCTCTCTCTCTCTCTCTCTCTCTCTCTCTCTCTCTCTCATATGCATGTACGAGGTCAGTCAGTCATGAGGAGGTTTGCCTTTCTGTGAGCATCTTTGATGGTTATATTTCCTCTCTAGAGCCTTGGCTTAACGATTGAAGATTCTCGTTCAAGTCTTCTGCTAGATTTCCCTGTACTTAACCACTCGAAGATTTCCGTTCAAGTTTTCTGTCAGATTTCCCTGTTCAATGTCATTTGCATATGCGGGCAAGCTTGACAGAGCGCCCAAAATCAGTTCCATGAACGGGCGAGAAGGATGATACACAGGCACACATGCCCGCGATCACGAACACACTCATGTATTCAGTGATCTATGATAACAATCACCTTCCTTCTCCTTCATCTGCAGCTTATGTTTTCCATTTTCCTGGTGTTATGAAGCCTACGAGGACGCCGATAGGACTTCTGTCCCATCACCTCGCTTTAGCTTTGTTTCACGTTTCACCTTTCCTTTTTCCCCACTCTTTTACCTCCTCCGCCTAATCCTTCCCTGCTACTGTCATCCATTTTGGTCCTCTTTTGTGTGTTTCTTCTCCTCCTGTTCCCAAGTCACATCTGTCAAGCCTCTATGCCACAAACGTGCGTGCAATTTCAGTCTAAGAAGCTCGCTACCTTCTCCCACCGAATACAACGTACGGTCATTATAACTGTATATAGACTGAAAGATCCCCCAAATACAGCTATAATGACCGTACGTTGTACTCGGGGGAAGAGTGTAATTTTGCATCACCAGAGAATCCCCTCTTCTCAAAGGTGTGTTTTGCTCTCGGCATGAAATGGAATGACAGATTATGTAACTTGGGATGGCATAAGGGATTACAAATTGGTGTTTGATGATTGGACCACCATTGATGCTTCAGTACCCATGCGCCCCTTATCAGATTTCCCAGATCCCTTCCCCCCTTCTGCATCTGCTCTTGTTCCTGGTTCTTGGTATGGTTTATAAGGGGTATCATGGTGTTCTGGGAAGAGTCAAATCAGTACCAGGTCCAAGCTGAGAAATCTGGCGCCACTCATATGAGGATGAAGAGGTACAAGGGATGCTGGGCCCGTTTCCCAGCATTCTCGGTTGCAGTTGTTCATCATTTGTTGAGGGACGCTGGACCCACTTTCCAGCAGGTGCAGCTCCCCACCAATAGATTGGAACCCCTTGTGGAGCTGGTAGGAGTGTATGCTCTTATCATCATTCCTATCAGTAATCACGAGGAGATGTTTTTCTATTAAAAAAAAAAAAAAAAAAAAAACACAACTAAGGGCATTCTTTGCGACTTTCCTAGATCTGTAATACATGTACCTACAGCCAGACTTGATTGATTTTTTTTTTTAATTATTTTTTTGATTGACTTTGAAGTTTGAATGGGTCATCCATATCAAGCAGAGTCTGCTATGTTCGTAGGGGAGGGGCCTGAGGGGAGGCACGGGGGATTGGTCCTCTTTATCCCTGGTGCTACCGGCCGTCCCCTGGCTGGTATCCTGCAGGCTCGAGGGGCCGTAAAAACACGGCTCTGGTATGCTACGGGTTTCCCCGTATGCCTATAGATAGGAGTAGTGGTAGGTAGGTAGTGTGAGGAAAAATTGAGAGAAGACTATATTTTTGTAAAAGAAAAATATATATATATATATTACTAATACAACCCAAAAGCAAATCATAAACCAGATAACCTGCTGAAGTGGGAGAAAGGGAGTGGGATCGCCTTCAAGGCTTCAACCATATAATGAAGCTTAGCTGAGCCACAGTAATGTGCAACTTACATGGGGCCGCTGCTCATCGATGATATATCTGTGCAGGCCCAGCATGATTCTGGTTGCCATGTGTGACATATTCATGCGGCGGACTTTGTTCAGGCATGGTACCTGTACAATCCAGCCCTATGTCTCAGTCTCGAACATTTTTTGACAAGTACCTGTCAATTAAAAAGCAAATTTGTCACGCCACGTTTTTGAATGCTCTCTCCCCAAGATGAGACTCTTCCATGAAATATCGATCTGGAATGTCCTTCTCACCCCTGAACACGAACCCCAAGACCCAACCAGGCCTCTTTTTTCTTTTAGGAACGGATCTTGGTTTGCTTATGGGGAAATCGGCCATAATGAACCAGTTCAATACCTTCGAGAATGAAGTTTTAAAACTTTTAAAACTTTTATAACATGGTATGTTGGCCCTTTCTTTTTTAGTAAATGATGCCTGGAAGAAATGCAACATTGGTGGCACCTCTGGTTGTCCTTTCTTCTTTCCAAACAGACAAAGAAAGGAAAAGACCATAGCATTTGAACACTGGTGGCTTTTCACCAGGTTCAGTTTTACTGTCCAACAGGTGACCTTCACCATCCGACGAGAGATGGTTAACTGAGGGCCAAAAATTTGACGGTTTCTCCGACAATTTTGGTGCAAAATTCAGCAAAAATTCCAAAAACAAACAATATGGACCCATGGTGCAAACATTAAAAAAAAAAAAAAAAAAAAAAAAAAAAAAAAAAAAAAAAAAAAAAAAAAAAAAAAAAAAAAAAAAAAAAAAAAA